CTCGCCGCGTAGTCTGTGAGTGAGCTGGGGGCGGTGCCGGCGCTGCCCCGCCGCTGGCCTGGGTCCCCGGTGCGGGAGGCAGTGCGGCTGCCTCCGCCGGCCCCTGCAGCGGGATGTGACCGACCCGACAAGCCAGCCGCTGCCTTCTGCAGAGCTGGCCCAGCTCGCTCCGCCGCAGCCCGGCCGGGACGTGCGGGCCCGCCCCGCCCCGCTGGGGTTCTCGCAGCCGTCATCCTCCACCCCTCCCCCATAGCAGCCCCCCCCCCCCGGTCCTCCCGGGGCTCCTCCCACGACCCTCCCATAGGTGGCCTCTTGTGCCCCCAGCCCCGGCGATTCCCGCTCAGTCAGATAGGCGGGCGGGGGCGTCCGGGAAGGTGCAGGTGCGAGGGTCTCTGGCACCTGGAGGGCCTCTCCCTCCCCAGATGAAACGAGCCAAGTAAAGAGCAGGATTCCACCTCTGGTGCGGGAGCTAACAGGGGAGAGACTGTGTGATCGAGCTATAGTTGGTTTTAACAGTCTCCTACTTGTAGAACTGCGTCAGCTTTTAAGTCTTTCCCCCATTCATGATGTGATATTGATCCCTTGCACGCTTTCATTCATCCTTTCATTTATTAGGCAAATATTTGTTGAGCGTCTCTTAAGTGTCTCCTATGTTTGAAGGCGGAATAAAGCAATTATTAAGAGTATAGGTTTATAGAGAGAAATTTGAAGAGCAGCGACCTGTTTCTGGTCATAGTTCTGCGGCTGCCTGTGACTTAGAAGAAGGATTAATGTGAGTTTCAGGTTATTCCACCTGTAAATCACCGGGCTGTGGTCAGGATCACATGAGACAATGTTGGTGAACGCTCTTTCGGGATCTTACACCACTGTATGAATGAGATCACCGTTAATTTGCACCAATTTGTTAGTTACTTCATTCATTCAATAAACATATAGCACTTCAAGTGATTTCATGGTCTGGTGGACATGAGATCTGGATGTGAAGTCCATTCTGCCTGCTGTGTGATCTTCAGCAACTGACTTACCATCTCTGAGCCTCGTTTTCATTATTTGGAAAAAACCAAGGAAATCAGGAAGCTCAGTGCTAATGTATCCATTATATTCACTTTTCACTTAAAAAATAAAGAATAGCTTATTTTTACATCATTTTGTGCCTTTTTCCATCTCAGTTGTAATCCCTGTGGTCTTCCCATCACCAGATCACCCGGGTGCCATCACCATAGTCCAGTGCACTTCCCCCACCCCCATTTTTTATCCCATTGCCCTCTCCACCCCCATAAAATGTCTCTGCTATATAGTTGTTCATTATTATTATTTTCTCCCCTGGTCTTTTATACTCCTGCTATGAAATATTCCACTTTATGTGGAAAGTGCACTGTTCCGTGTAAATACACGTTGGCTAGTGTTGTATTCAGGGCAGACACTTTGGTTTCTAGTTCTCAGTACAGTGTTTCTATTTCTGTGGTACTTTTCCTCTGTAATATCCAGTTCAGTGTATGCACCCCGGGGCGCTGGAGCTTCTGTTGACTTCGTTCTGAGAGGAGAGAATAAAATGGGGCGGGAGGACTGTGTGGGCGGAGCATGTGATCCAGTTGCGATCCAAAGGATTCATGTGATCCAGAGGACCAGCTGAGGGTCCTCTGACTTCTGCTGATCCCGAGAACCCTGATCTCTGGACTCCGAAGGTTCTAGGTTCTCACAGCTCTGGAAGTGGGCTTGGGTATTTTCCTGCGCTTTGGGGCTCCAGCTCCCCATCCCCATTCCCCCACCCCAGAGGGCACTGCATCTGAAGGGCAAGAGGAATGAAACTGGGGTTTTCCTTTGTTGGGCAGAGCAGGGGCTGGGAAGTCTAGGTGCACCCTAAGAGGACCCAGGAGCTACTTTGGGATTACTGGAGTTGGGGGGCTTAGTACCCTTAGAAAGGGTACAGGCAGAAGTGCTCATAGGGGGGTGGTGCTTAGAGAGGCCAGGAATTTGGGTTAATCTTCACCGTGGCTCTGGTAAGCCCTGCTAGCTGGAAGCAGAGTCATGGGACAAAAGCTTTATGTGGCTGAAGAGGCAGGCGTGGCAGTGTGGACACAAAATGGTTGCAACATGTGATGAGATCTGGGAGCCCAGCCAGTGGAGATGAGACCCCTCTTCTCTATGTTGGCTGTCTGCGCTGACTCCCAGAATCAGTTTTCATCCAGGTTTCCTTCCACCTGGGGTGCTATTTTCCTGCTGCTCCTCCCCACCTTCTTTCCTGATCTTTCCGTAATAGGCCCAGAGTGCCAAGTGCAGGCTGTCCTTGGTATGTGCGTGCGTGGAGCGCATCACCGTGGCTGCCACACTCCTGCTGGAAGTTAAGATGCCACCTCCAGCCCCACCTTCATCTCTCCTCTCTCAGACCACGTCTAATTCTGGAGCCCCGAGAGCCTCTCCATCCTTCTCCTACCCCCCAGTCTACTGTCTTTTTCATGACTTCAGATTCCTGCCTGCCCCTCCAGTGACTCCACAGTAAGTCAGCTTGAACCAGTTGGGAAAATTCAAAAGGTGCCTAAGATACTTCTGCTCCCAGTTAACTTCTGTTTCCCTCTGCCGTTCACTTTTCTTGGACTGCTTTTCTTTCTTCCAGTCCTCCCTCCTGGATCTTTATTGGCATCTTAGTAACTATAATAATTATCTGCATGATACGTTGTAATTGACATGGCACTTTCACACTCATGGTCCTCATGAAAACCTGCAAAGTTGGTGTTATTGTCTTATTTTTTTTT